ACATTTTCTGTTTAGTCACCATTTGGGCATGGCACCTCATAAACTACAAGGAAGCACTAGCAGGGAACTACCCCCTCATAAATATTGTGTTTCGGTTTTGGCTTCTCCTAGTTCTTCATCACTTTATGACACAAATTTTATGTTCGGTTTAAAGAATTTACAAGATATGCTATATTAAAATCTAGTCAGTTAGCAACTGTCATTTCTAGAGAAGATAGAGGATGTAATGAGTTGTGAGCTAGACGGTTTCAGTCATAAAACATCATCAAAACCTTTTCAAAATGATCATATGATGAAGTGTGGTAGAGCACGAAGAGAGTTTGGTTAACCTGCTCTTGTGAGAGCCATACATTAAGCAATTAATCTGATTAGACAGAAGTTACATGTGCCCTCCATGTCATGAACAAACAAAGACATGTTGTCTTGACTTCAGTGTTCTAACAGCTCTACTTCATTGAGCGCTTTAACACACCACCCTCACACTACAGCAAGGTGTAAAGCAGGAACTAATACTGGCTTCTCATGTAAGCAGATGTGAAAGTGTCTCAGTTTAAGCAAAGTGGTCAAAAGTGTGTATGACAGGCACAACTACAGTGAGTCATGCAAACCCACAGGGCAAAGAACATGCAAGCTGGCACACACCGACACAAAATCTTCAAAAATAATAATAACTGAGGATTACAAGGGCCAGATCCACGTTACTGTCTGATTTGAAACAGGATGCAACACCTATTCATGAACAAAATTGCAGACATGGAGCTAATGATCCCTTTCCGTGGTCATTACCATTCAGAATCCGCGTAATTAACTCAAATCATAACCGTTATAATATGAAAATAAGATGTAATATAAAATAATTAGTGCTGTCAAACGATTAATCGCATTCAAAATAAAGTTTTTATTTACATAATATGTGTGTACTGTGTATATTTATTATGTATATATAAATACACAAACATACATGTATATATTTTAAAAATATTTACATGTGTGTATATATACAGTATATACATATATAATTTATGTTATATATAAATATAAATATTTTATATAAAAACAAAACATTTTTCTTAAATATATACATGCATGTGTGTGTATTTATATATACATAGAACTAATAAATATACACAGTACACACACACACACATATATTATGTAAATAAAAACTTTATTTTGAATGAGATTAATCGCCATTAATCGTTTGACAGCACTAAAATAATATAAGAAAGGGAAATATTCATTAACGATGACGTGTAATTTCAAGAATAACGTTGTGTTCGAAATCGCATACTGTCACCTTGTCCGAATATTCCCTACTATTTAGTAGGCGAAAAACAGTACTCGAAAAGAGTAGTGTGTCTAAATTAATAGTATTTATAAAACAGCAGGCGAAAAGTACCCGGATGATTTACTACTTCCAGTGAGATTCTGAAGTGCGCATCCAATGGAGACTTTACAATCCCATGAGGCCACATTAGAAGATTTGTGAATAGCAGTGAAGCAACGCAACTGACATCCATAAGTAACATGGCAATGACAACATGGTGGATGTAGTATGTCCGGATTTCATTCATACTACACACAAACATAGAACTACTTTTTAGCAATCGCGAAGTTCTTAACAAGTGTAATAGGCCTACCTATTCAGACAGCATGCAAATTCGGACGCAGCTTCAGGGTAGGTACTACGATTTAAGTATAACTAATTTGTGACTGTTAAAAATGTTATATAATGTATGTATGTGTTTAGTATGAATGTAATCCAGATGTACTACATCCACCAAGCTGCCAGTGCAAAGTTGTCTATTAAATGCGCACTTCAGCCTAGTGTTGTATGAATACTACTAATTCGGGCATAGTAATTTAACGCACTGCTTTTCATTTACTATAGAGAGGTATGCATGTTGTTGGTTTTCAGACATGTTTCCTAAACACTCCTCCCGTTTTCCATTGGTCAACAAACAAATAATGCTGCCCCCTCTGCCACACCATTGGTTGACCGAGTGTCACTATTGTGAGCTGGGAGTGAAGCAAACAGCTTCAGTGTTACACTTCTACTGTAAATCAACCTACAAATGGTTTACTTGTAGTTGTCTCTATGTATACAAAGATTTTAGCATTTTAGCACTGAAAAGAATACACACTTTCACTTTAAATTTTAAACAGTGGTCACCAATGTTGGGACACAAGATTTTTGCTGCACTGAAAATAGTAGTATGCCATCTACTACAGAACAATATGAAATATGACAAACATACAGGTACAGCGCAGGATAGTGGAATGGGGGCCCATGCGCATAATGTGAAGACAGTGATGACAACAGAAGCTTGTAGTCTCCCATGATAAGTAAAGAGTGCACGCAAAGCTACGAAACACACTTGTCCACTTAACTGTAAAACCCCTTCGGCCTGCTCCGGCATGCTTTCTGAGTCCAGCTCCATTCTGCCTGTTCCAGTGTGTGTGAGTTTACCTGGCCTGGTTAGCTTATATGTGTCCAGTAACTGGACACGGGGGAATAATCCGAGCGGCCCTGCCGAGTATGGCCCACAGCGAGGAGAGTCGGGTTGCCTGACAAACGCTAAACACTAGCTTGATAATTACGGCAAGGCACCATCCATCTTTCCTCCACTCGTCAGAGGGAGTCGATGGAGGAAACACTTTAAAACATGGCTTTTGTTTCTAAAACAAAAAGTTCACATTTTCAGAGGCTATGAACCAGTGGTAGAACCGTACGCAAAACTTTAAGTCAAGACAGTTATTAATTGAATTATCATTTATTAGTTTTGACACCATTTTTGTGGCTCATCCAATGAATTAGCTGAAATTCTATACGTTTCTTTGTATTAACAGCTCTCTAATGATTTTTGATGAATTGTAGGCTGACAATAGGAGCTTGGCCTAGTGGCTCATAAATTACAAAACAAATGCAAATGACCAGTTAATGTAGACCAAAAATTATAGTTTCCAGAAACTATGAACCAATGGTAGAACCATATGCAAAACCATTACCAAGTCAAGACAGTTATTAACTTACAATTTAAATTTTTAACTATTGTTTACGAATTTTGAAAACATATATTTTGTGGCTCATCCAACACATTTGTTTTTTTCAATTTTAACACAAATCTCTAATAATTCTTAATAAAATGTTGGTTAACAATATGAGCTTGGCCGAGTGGCACATAAATAAAATAAAAAAAACACGCCAATGACCGGTCAGCGTAATTAAATTTTAAATTACCACAGCATTATTACATAACAGAGAAAACAAATGATGATAAAGCAGTTAAATAAGCAAAGTGAGATGAAAAAACAGATAAAGAAATTGTTAAGGCAAACTGATAAATAATCTGTTATAGCCTATATCTTTCATTGGAGACATGCAAGTAGATCGTGAACAGATAAATTGCAAGAGACAAGGGTGGAGCCATAAAAATATTTTTTTCTTAAAAAGAACTGCAATCAAAGTGTTATCATATAACAATCACTCAATGGAGGGTTTGTTTAGTGTACAAGAAAACACAAGCTATTTCTGTAAATGCATTTCATTTTAGATACTCACAAAGCTCCTTATTTTAAAAATTCAAAGACAAGATCAAGATGTACAAAATATTTGACTAACCTTTATGTTTAAAACGTTAATGAGCAGCATTTCTAAACAACCACATTTTCAAATGCAACCCCTTGAGTGGACATTTACTTTAAGAAATAAGCTAGATGTGAGCCTAAGGACTAAGGTGTGGAGCTTTGGGAGTGTCGCTCTTGCTTAAAGTTCTCTCTGCTTTAAGTTACTTTGCTCTAGAATGAACTTGGCAGAACAGTTTTGGCACAGCCTAGTCTTGAGGGTTATGCATGTATAATCTGTGAGTTTCTGTGCAGTTTTACAGATTTACAGTGCTTACCTTGCTGCTGTTGAAGTTGGAGAACCCTGCAGTTTCGAGAAAGAAAGGAAGAGAATTTGAGAGAAGAGAAAATGTGAACAAAATCACTTCCTGCATTAGTTCTGGACCAGCCCCCTTGAATACACCCCCGCCTAAACAAACAGATGTCAAAAAATGAGGGAAAAAGGCAAAGACACAGAGAGTGACATTCACAGATTTGTTAATAGTTCCAACAAATGCATGGCCTGTTTTGACTAAATTTGACTGCAGGAAGACCTGGACTGTGTGGACTGAAAGAGTAGAAAATATCTAAAAATCACATTTAGCCAGAGAGGTTTCTCCGTTTCTCTTGTTATATATATATGAGTCACACCCAGTCAGTCACAAAGCATTCATGATAATGTCAGGGCTTGCCCGTGGACACAAGAAATGAATGTAATAAGCCATAGTCATAGCTAAAAATTGTTAACTAAAAAAATGCAGCTAGGCATGCACACTCAGTGGCTGTGACTGACTGCATTCACTCAGACATTTATAAGAGCACAGGAAACCCAGGGGTTGGACTGTGGTTTCAGTGGTTTATCGAAAACAAGAACCTGTAAGGCATAAAATGTCTGTAATATTGGCTCAGGTACCTTGGAACAAGAGGCATGTCTATGTAAAGAAATACACAAATTGCACATCTTCATTTAGAAATTCAAAATGGGAAATTTGATAACAGAGCATACAAAATTAAATGGTGCTCTTACGGAAATCGCTCTTCCTAGGTTTAACAGGCTGTAAAACAGAAGTTCATCCCAAACACAGACTGTTGTCACAAGTTATGTGACACCAAATTGAAGTGAACAATGACATGCAGTTCACCAATTCATTTCAATATGACATTGTGCTACAAGTTACTTCTGCAAAACTTATCTTGGAGCACAATGTCGTATTGAATGAAGGATTCTTTAATGAATGTTTTATGAAAGAAAATTAGGTCTAAGCCTTAATTTTGTCACTTCAAACCATTATATAGACAAAAAACTTTTCAGGTGACCTGTTCTTTTAAGGTTAATCATAACACAGCCAACAGCCATGTTAAAAAAATACAAATGAACAATTTAGTCAAACTTTTTATTTTTCCAAGTCAAAAAAACAAACAAAACAGATACAGAGAATGAAGTATCAGATTGACGTCTATACAGTGACAATTTCTCTTAATTTAAATTCTCCTTTCCTCATAAACCCAACCTAGTTATTACTCAAACTCAAGAAAACCCCGTCTTTTCCATTTATGCTTTCATGCACACACACTCGCACACTCACACACACTTATTGGGAGCCTGGGTATAGAGTATTAACTGGACTTGTTTGAAATATCCATGAAACTGAAGGCAAACAAGGGCATTAAAGAGACTGTCATGTGAGATCTAAGGCCTTAAATCTAAAGCTGAAATATGCAAGAGCATTGAAGTCTTTTACAAGTCAACGAAACCTCCTGCAACTACCACTGTCCAGTTGGAAGAGTAAGTTGAGGGAACCACAGTAGCCACTTGCGTTCAGGTTTTAAAAAGGTAACACTCAAAAAGATCTAAATGGCTCCAACGAGTCAAATCAGTCACTGTCACCCTCTACTGTTCAAGCATAAGACGATTCAGAATCAGCTGACGAAATTTAGGTTAACAAATGACCACATGGTCTAGGGGCATAATGACGCCAGATATGAAACAGTGCATATTCGAAAGCCCACCCCCAGCACTTAATCCAAAAAGCAAAGCTGACCCAATGACAATGAAGCCAGCACAAGAAAAATAGTGTAAAATAACTGCTTTTCCTCAGAAATTCACACAAGAGATTATCAGTTATAATTACGCAAATATCAGAAAAAAGCAATTATACACTTATTATATTAAAGGGTTAAGTGCTGAGGACAAGGAAGGACTCATTAGATTTGAACCAAGGTGGTTTAAAAAAAAACAAAAATTAACGGTGCATCTTACGTAAAGCCGTGCTCCAACCTCACTCAGAAAAAAAAAAAAATACCAAAAAGGTAGCAACTTCCCACTCCACTGTGCACTCAGAGGTACAAGACTGCTGGTTACCACTTTTTTGTGCAGTTTTTTTAAATTGTAAATTACTGGGCAGATGCTGGTGAAAGATAAGGCTTGCATCTTTTGGGGACAATTGACTAGAAAGTTGATGCCTCAAATCAAGCATCTGTTCTCTCTCTCCGATTCTTAAAGAGGGCAAACACTACACAACACTTTTAACCATGCCATTGGCTGGCATACATTAGATTACAGTATTACAAGACATTTTTAATCTGCACAAAGTGTCAGCCATCTTTAACCTGTTTTTTAATAAACAGCCATTTTGAACCTCCTGCTGCTTTAGAAATAACATAAGTGAACTCAAATTAGACAGAAAATCAACATTAATATTTAAACAGTTCTCAGTTCTGACCTGGAATAATGAATCAAAACTGCGAGCAAGCGCTTATTTACACTAAGAAACAAAAAGCTGTAAAATGTGAGAAAGGTTAGTTTCTCCCCCTTTCTATTTACGTTATAGATATTTTTCAAGGTTTCATTTGAAACTTTTCTGATACAATCCACTGTTTTCTGTGTGAAGGCTTTTGGCAATACTTAGATTTAATTTACATCCAACACTGAATTTTTGAGAGAAAGTAAGGGAGACTGAAATTACTGGATGGAAAGAGGAGGACAACAAATGATCTTTCTCCTCCAAAAGCAGTCAATCTCCTGCATCTTTCCACCAATTTTGAGCAATGGTTCTCCCTCTAAACTTAGAGCGAACAAAATGGTCAATACAAAGGCAGCCTTGTTTGGCTTGTAGTTCAAACCTCTGACAGATGCAACCATTGAAGCCTGTTTAGTGAGGCTATTTAAGAACTGTTCAATAAGTCCAAAAGAGAAAAATCAAAAAGGATGTCACATGTGGGATCCCAGTTTCCTCAGCCTTCCCTGTAAACCACAACAACCCCAGCTGAGTGGCTTTCCTTCAGTCTTTATCCCAGGGTCGGAGTGCCAATCAGGGAAGTAGGACAAACCCAGACGCCAGCCACCTTTAATTATTTTCTTCATCGCTGTCGTCAGGGCTGATGGCTGGGCTGTAGGTTGGAGAGGTGGGGCTGTAGCCAGGAGAAGTGGGGCTGTAGGTCGAGCCCTTTGGACTAGTTGGAGAATAGGTAGGGGAAGTGGGTGAGTATTTGGGAGAAGTTGGAGAGTAAGTCGGAGAGGTGGGGGAATATTTGGGGCTGGTTGGGGTGTAGGTAGGAGAAGTTGGAGAATAAGTAGGGGAAGTGGGGCTGTACTTGGGCGTAGTTGGGGAGTAGGTTGGAGAAGTGGGACTGTATTTGGGCGAAGTGGGCGAGTACTTCGGGGAAGTGGGGGAATATTTGGGGGATGTTGGGGTATATTCGGGAGAGCTGGGACTGTAGGAGGGGGAGGTGGGAGTGGATTTTGGAGAGGCGGGGGAGAAGGATGGAGAGCTTGGGCTGGTAAGACGGGGGGGTCGGGGAATAAGATGGAGAAGTTGGGGAATAAGATGGAGACGTGGGGCTGTAACTCGGTGAGGTTGGGCTGTAGCTGGGGGACGTTGGGCTATAGCTGGGGGATGTTGGCGAGTAAGACGGTGAAGTCGGGGAGTAAGACGGTGAAGTCGGAGAGTAAGACGGTGAAGTCGGAGAGTAGCTTGGAGATGTTGGAGAATAAGATGGCGAAGTTGGAGAGTAGGAGGGTGATGTGGGCGAGTAGGACGGAGATGTGGGGCTGTAGTTTGGACTGGTGGGAGAATAAGATGGCGAAGTTGGAGAGTATGATGGAGAAGTCGGAGAGTAACCAGGGCTCTGCGGGGTGTATCCACCAGGAGAACGAGGCTCGTAGGCAGGAGAAGTTGGGGAGTAATTTGGAGACAAGGCTCCTGAAGAGAAAAACAGAAAGGATTGCATTAGCGGCCTGTTTGGTTTGCAACCTACTAATACAACCAAGCAAACAATGACCGTTATTATTAAAAACAGAACACCACCAAAATAGTAACCTGGTGAGGGGATATAAGGGCTAGCTGGTCCAGGGGATCCAGGAGAACCAGGAGTAGGAGACCAGGCAGGAGAATAGCCAGGCGAGAAGCCGCTGGCATCAGATGCAGCGCTGGGAGAGAAGCCTGCAGCACCTGGTGTCATTCCACTTCCTGTATAGGAAAAAGAACAGGGCATGAAATGAAATATGTAGACATAGACGAGATAATGCACTGTAAATAAGGGTGGCAGTAAAACAAAACCGTATGTAGCATTTCTTCACTCACCAACACTGGGAGACCAGGCACCATATGCAGGAGTGGCTCCTGTGTTCCAGGGAGTCATGGCAGGAGACATTCCACTCATGGGGCTGGGGGCAGAGCCAAAGAACATACCCGTGGCTGTGGTGGAAAAAGCAATGATTAACTTAAAGGCTTAAACCTTGTACTTTGTCCCCAAATTTAAACCTTAAGCATTCAAAAAGAGGAAATAAGTATGACTTACGTCCTGCGACACTGATACCAGGGATATTAGTGGGAATCTCCATGCCATACTTGCACTTCTCAGCATCCAACAGCAGGTCAAAGCAACCAGTGCCTGCAGGAGCCAGCTGTCCCAGCATGATATTCTCAGACACTCCTTTCATTGGGTCACATTCACCATGAGATGAGGCTTCCATCAACACATCCACCTACAGAAGAGGGAGGAATAACATTTTTAAACATTTCTTTACAAGATCAACCTTAATAACATTCTAAATCAGTAAATAGAGCCTCACCGTCTCTTCAAAAGAGCACTTCATCAGCGGTCCAGTGTCCTGCCTGTTGATACCATGACGAGTGATGGCCATCAAGTGACCCCTGCAGGTCATTGTGTCACACAGCAAGGCAAGATGGCGGTAGTTAACGTAAGAACCGTCGAAAGAGATGACGTGGTACAACTCTCTTTCCAGAGCCTTACGCACAGCCTCAATACCAAGAACCTGCAATTGAAGAGACGACATTTCTGAATTTGATCTAAGGACTTAATAGGTCACACACTTTACACAAGCTATTAAACAATTCTTACAGTGAAAATCTCCACAATGTCATTGGAGGTGGTTCTGACAGGGTCCACGTCCTTCTCACTGAGGACCCTCATAAGACTGACTCCATCAGTTTCCAGGATCCACTCTTGCAAGGCTTTAAACTCTCCCTCTTCTGTAATGATGATTTTCTTCTTGTTGTCAGTCTGTGGTAGATGCATGTACACCTACAAGGGCAGAGAGTAGGATAAATTAAACTCCAATCTCATGGCCATCGGTGAAGTCCACAAAACTTTAAACAGGTGTCCTGTGTGTCATTTTGTATTTCAAGTGGATGCCAATTTGCAATCCCCATTACTCAGGAGCATGTAAGTGCCATGTGCCTTTTTTGATGAACCTGCACTGCCAGATGGGCTGTCAGGTTTACTTAAAGTGAAGTTGGAAGAAAAATACCTTGCTGATCTGTTCAATGCCTTGCAGTGTCATGTCTGTCAGCATGTTGGATTCAATGCAGCGAAGGAAGACATCGTCATCCATCTTATCCACTACCTCCTCATCCTGGGCACAAGATTCAACATTTACAATTCAACACAGAGAGAAGAGGCCAGTTACGTGCTCACCAGTAAAAATTCTAATTACCTCTTGAAACTTGTTCTCGTCACTGTTCATAATGCGGATTCGCAAAACCAGTTTCTCAGCATTGTCATCATTGAAGATGCAGTTAAGGTCATCACCAAATCCTAGAAGACAGACAAAGATTTGAGTAAGAAAATTACCTATCACCTCAGCGTCCAAGCTGTTTGCCATTTAAAGTGTTGTATTAACATGCATTTATTCAGTGATAATCTCAAGCCCACCTGCATTGATCTTCTCTGCAATCTGCTCCATAGTCAGCTTACGGTCAGTCATGTGTTTGCGGTCAAGTTCGATACGCAGCAGCCAGGGTGAAATGCGGGTCACGTCGAAGTCAGGCATCTCATAGTACACATTGACCCACTCCTGATCCTCAGTCACCACAGTGTTCTGTGGGTTGGGGTCGTAATAAATGGCTGTGTTGGCAGTGACCTTGCGCAGGGTTGTGTGCTCCAACCGACACAGGATATCTTTGGCCCTCTCTGCATCACGGGCCGCTTGGCCCAGGAGAAAGACGGTCAAGGAGGGGGTCTTGGGTCGCTTGGAGATGTTGATAAGCTCTTTGAGTCGAGGCACACCGAGAGTGACATTTTTGGCGGACACACCGGCGTAGTGGAATGTATTCAGGGTCATCTGAGTAGCAGGCTCTCCCAGAGACTGGGCAGCCAGAGCACCTACCATCTCACCAGGGTGAGCCTGAGGAAAACAATAAGAAAATGTCCAGCTTCAGGCAATGAGACAACTTGATAAATGGATAAAAGATGATATTACTTCCTTTTTTTTTTTCAGGTGCATTACTTACAATGGACTGGTTAAATTTGGTCTCTATCTCTCCCAGCAGCCATTCAAAAGCCTCTGTGCTAAGACGGAACTCCTCAGTCATTCGCTTTGAGCACAGGGTGGAGCGCAGGTGGATGTTGAAGAGCAGGGTGGCATTCTCCTGGGCTTGCCTGCTTAACTGGTCTTCACCATTTACAATCACCAGCTTCTTACTCAAGTCACAAACTCCTGCATAAAACCAGAGCACATATTCATGTGCAACACGCTTGCAGCTCAATCCAATAATACGACAATAAAAGGGTGGTGCCATGACCATAATGACAAGTAAAAACAGCCATATTGGTCAGGGCTACATAAAATTACTGACACCTCTAAAAGGTGCAGATTTGTCAAGTGCATGAGTTTGGCATAATGTCTTTAGTCAACACGTATACAAAGATGTAAAAGTGGCCTTTATAATCAGCTTGCACAGGTCTGCCACAAGACAGTTGTAAGCTACAGGGATCAGTCATCAGCAGGCTTTATTTAGCTGCCACAAGCAGGGGTCTTTATTTTGCTGGGAGACCCGCTCAAACGCAGAAAGTCTTAAGATGGTTAAAGCAGTATATAGTGTTCATGTCAAAATAAGTTTATAAAATAAAATTTAGTTAAAAGATACCTAAATAAAATCCCTTTACAGGCTCAAAGTACAAACCAATGTGTTTAACCCACCTTCCACAACTCGTACTGGGTTGAGGTCAGTTGGTGTTCGAGGATTGATGCGGAAAATCTTCTGAGCATTCCAGATCATTCTGGCCAAATTGCACGGTAGTACCACCTATGGAAAACAGTGTTCACTTATGTTATTTCTAAAGAAGCAGGAGGTTCAAAATGGCTGTTTATTAAAAAATGTGTTAAAGATAGCTGACACATTTTGTGCAGATTAAAAATGTCTTGTAATACTGTAATCTAATGTATGCCAGCCCATGGCATGGTTAAAAGTGTGCAAATACAGTGTTATTCACATTCACGGTGTTATATCACATCTGATACAGATGTAACAGAATGAGGATAATCCCATCCAAAGAGCATATGGATATTGATGGAGCTTAAAGGGTCAGACCTTGCTGTCTCCTGTGGGGAAAATAGCCCTCAAGATCTCTCGGTCTTCCTTCATCTTCTCAAACTCTCTCTCTAGGGAACTCTGGACGTGGGCATTGGTCATCACATCTTTCACCACATCTTCCTGTAGAGTGCGGCGGAGAGCTCGTTCATTGGTGTAGTCAAACTTGAACCTGTGCAATTAAAGAAAGAGGCAGAAAGTTGAAATCAATGACGTTAGTCAGTAGTCTGGATATTGGCTCTGAGCTGATGACCAACAATGACCTGTGATGACTTGAAAACAGACTCCTAAATAGCTTACTATTCATGTCCCTGTTGATTTGGGTTAATACAGCTAATATTTATTACTTAGTTTAAACTACTGGCAATATTGCATTCCTGTAAATACTTAAATTAACACAAGAGCACTAACTTCTTATCAAAGGCTTTGTTGGATGGCTTGAGGGTAGCCATGTTTTGGAACTCGACAGCCTCTCCTGCCAGACCATCCTCTCCATACCTCAGCTGGACAACTTGGTTAATGGAGTTTCTGACTGTAGCATCATACTTTACCATAACAGACTCCATAGACTTGATCAGACGACGCTGAATATAACCTGAAGAAACGAGAAGAAATTCATTAAAACTCATGAAGACAATTTCAGCCTTTAACCAATACAAATCTGATGACAATTTTACATCTCACTTAGAGACTAGAAATAAGTATTATGATTTGAAGTTCAGATTACATTTAGTATTAGCCATCAATAGCTGCTCAGTCCATGTGTGTTCATTACCTGTCTCAGCAGTTTTGACAGCTGTGTCGATCAGACCCTCTCTGCCTCCCATGGCGTGAAAGAAAAACTCAGTTGGTGTGAGACCGGCCAGATAAGAGTTTTCCACGAAGCCTCTACTCTCTGGACCATAGTCATCCTTAATGAAGTGAGGGAGAGTGCGGTGCTTGAAACCGAAGGGGATTCGCTTACCCTCAACGTTCTGCTGCCCCACCACAGCAATAACCTAAATGGGTGAAGAGGAAGAACAAATACAGAGATTGTGAAAAAACCTGACACGGACCACATTTACATGCACATTGAGATTAATGCCACTTGGGATTATATTAAGCCTTTAGTCTGAAAAAGGCAGCAACTTGCTTTTGAACTATTTTAAGATTTAAACACCATCTACTGTCTCCTCTCACCTGAGAAATGTTAATTTTAGAGCCTTTTGAACCAGCCACCACCATGGATTTGAAATTGTTGTACTCAGACAATGACTTCTGGGCAGAGGATCCAGTCTTGTCTCGAGCATCATTCAGGATGCGGTTGACCTGGTTCTCAAAGGTCTGTCTCAGAGTGTTACCTGGGGTGGGCTCCAACTCATTGTTGTGGGCTTTCTCAATGACCTGCGAGAAAGAAATCATCAAGCACAACTGCATTCATGTACGAAAGCACTGATCTTATACTTATTTATCACCCTAAATCCTAGTACATTCCTACAACTTTATTTTATTCTATTCCTATTCTATCTATAGCACACCTGTACATACAATTTATTCTTTTTTTGTGGTTTATATTTATGCATGTGTATTTTATTCACATCTTATTTTTATTATCTGTGTTGTTGTTGTTGTCTCCGTGCACTGGAAGCTTGTGACACTATAACAAATTCCTTGTATGTGCAAACATACTTGGCAATAAAGCTCTTTCTGATTCTGATCTGTTATATTTATAAATCCCTAATGATGTCAACTTACCTCTATCACATCTTGTTTGGCTTTCTTAATCGTGTTCTGAATGTCCTGATATGTCGCCTTATCGGCAATGGAGTCACCAATACCAATAGAGTGACCTGAAGCAGACAAGATACTTGTAAGACAGACAGACTTGAATTTACTCAATATTTGCACATATTTCAATCCTTATTTTTTACCCTCAATGAGCAGCCAGTTGTTGACAACAGTCTGGATATTGGAATAGAAGAGTCGTGTGATGTCATGGCCCATCTCAAGGTATGAGATGTGGACAAGAGAGCCAGCTGAGGTTCCCAATGACTTCTTACACAGGATCCCCATGATCAACTCACCGTTCTCCACAATCACCTGCAAAACGAATTGAAATGAGAACAAAATTGCATAAACACTTTGTTTTGCACAAAAACTATGTCCATATTTGGGCTGCACTACTGCACCTTAGTGTCTCCAGGGGAGATGTGTTTATAAGGGCCGCTGTCCTCTTCATCAGGGTGAGTGCTGTGTGTGCGGATGGCATTGATGTGCCCAGGGATGATCAGGCTGAAGATCTGTTTGCCAGTCCAGAGAGGTCGAGGCTTCAAGATAGCCGGTTGGGGCACTTTGCCATCCCATGTGGAGAGAAACATGAGGAGGTTCATCACCTCACCCTAAAACAAAGCACACAAAATGATTTATTAGAACCTGCACAACTTAACAGCTCATCACATTCAATTTTGTCCCACAGCTTTGAATATATGTACCCTCTCTAAGAAGACGTCTCTCTTGGTAAACTTGCGCACAGCTGTCAGGGTGTCCTGCACAATACCCATGACGGGTCTGTTGGACTGTGGTGTGACGATCATACGAGGCACCATGGCCAGCTCCTGGATCTCAGCACGGGTCTCCAGAGACTGTGGCAAGTGCAGGTTCATCTCATCGCCGTCAAAGTCAGCATTGTATGGGGTTGTCACACTAAAGTGAAAGGAATTTCTTCTTAAAATGCGTTTGTAATCTTCATGAAGTCAAAAACCATTATATTAGAATGAAGGTGCTAAATATGACCATTAACTTTCTATACCGATTAGTTACAATTTCAGCAATTATAACTGATGATACAGTACACCAATTTAATAAAGTGCCTATCCACGTATCAATCCATAAATAATGTGGTGGATCAAGTCTTAGAAATCCAGTGTACCTAAGGTTGAGTCGAAATGTTGACCATGGCAAGATTCGCACTCTGTGGCCCATCATAGACATTTTGTGCAGTGTAGGCTGTCTGTTGAACACAATAATGTCTCCATCACACATGTGTCTTTCAACCTAGAAAAAAAAAATCAGGTTTTAAATTCAAATATTACATTACATTCTTACATTAAACAAACAAACAAAAAAAAGACTGTCAAAACTGACTTTGTATCCAATCTGAAGGTGAAGGTCACTTGGCTTAGGGTGGAATCGCAGGTCAATTCTGTCCCCGTTGTCTCGGATGATATATTTGGCTCCAGGGTACTGACTGTTACCTCTCAACCATGCAATACATCAGACTCCTTTCCCACGGTTTAATAAGAAATGCTAACCTGGTTTCTTGCAGAGCCCTGCATGATCACAGCCGGTCTCACAGCAAGAGGGGGCACAGGCAACACTGTGACAATCATCCACTCAGGACGGGCGTATTTGGGGTCCATGCCCAAGATCATGTCCTCTTCATCTGAAATGCGTTTGAAGATCTCATGCACACGTTCAGGACTGAGAAGAATCTTCTTCTCCTGCGAGTCTTCATTCACATGCTTCCACTCAGCATACAGCTCCAGGCCAGAGCGACGGATACGTGGCTGGTACCTGCCACAGCCTCCATGACCCTTGAGATGTGAAAGTAAAAAAATCAGTTTTAAAACTTCCAGAGCAAGCTTTAAATACAGCGGAGAACATGTAAAATTGCCCTGTGCACTTAGAGAACTTTAGGTCTGTACCTTCTCTTTGGTGAGGTCTTCTTCCGTCTCCTGCTGCTCCACACCAAATTTGTTGTCCATCTCCTCTCCACCCTCACAAATGTTTTTGCCTTTACAGAGGTCATAGACGTGGGTCAGACGCTTACGTGGCTGCCCCTTCGACTTGACCAAGATGTCTTTGATTTTTGGATTGTTCTGGGTAAAACATATTTAGAAATTAAAATACACTACAAAACAATTTGACCAAAGGATCTAAATCAGAGGAACCATGGGGGAAGGAATATTTTGACAAAGAAATAAATCACAAACAAAAGGCAAATTGAAAACAGCATACCGCGTCCACAAGCAGTTTCGAACAGAAGAAACAGACACAGCGGAGGACCTTCATGATCTTTGTGATGAAGCCAACATGAAAGACTGGCTTTGCCAGCTCAATGTGACCGAAATGACCAGGGCACTCAGTCATGTTACCTAAACGACGACAAGCAAAACAAGCAGAGGTTTGACATTATTGTGTAACACATAAATACCAACCAAGACGGATAAAAATCAGTTTATGAACATACCTGCACACGTCTGGCATCTGCCCGATCTCTCAATTACCCCTTGCCGGGGGTCCATAAGTCCCCCCAGTTTAGGGCGCCCTCCTTCTGTGGTCTCAGGGTACTTGATGCCCCCTTCAGTAACGGACATCCGTTTCTGAAAATAGCGTAAATGCCATTCAAATGTCTTACATTTTCACAACAGCAGGAAAACATTGGTACACTGAATACATTCTCAAGTAATTTTTAAAACTACATGGACAGCAAAAATAACAGTAAGTTTGCAATAAGCAATTACTTAGACGTCATCTGGCAAATTATGCATTTAACATTTTAATTGGAAATATAAACAATGTTCTATTTATAATGGGTTTCTTCATCCATGTTGCACCCATAAAACATACAATAACCACCGAAAGAGGTGTCAGAGATTAAGTCTGCATTCGTAAAAAAAAATAAAAAACAGAAAGGTTCGAAAGCCCTTAAAAATGACATTACTGAATAAAAATCAGTTATTTTTTTATCGCTCTCTAAAAAAGCATCACATCTCAACTCAAATGTGTTATTTGCTCATTTATTTCAAAACAAAGTGTACTTTATGAACTGCTCGTATTTGAGCTTTAAATAAATGAAAGCATGCATATAGAAGTTCAAATTTTATTGCCAGAAAGGTAGACATAGGGAACAATGTGGAAACTTGGGAGAAACTCTGGGTCTGCCATGTGACTCCAAAATGGTCAAATAAAATAAACAAAAAGATTACAACAAGTTAAAGTTATATAACTTCAAACAATGCTTTCCGTGTCTTGTTGCTAATTGTTAAAGCAGGACTCTTGTGTAGTGTTTCTTCAACTTTCTAAACACATGCTCTTACTGAGGAAGAAGTGGCTAGCCGGCTAAGTTAGCAAAACACATGTTCACAAAAGACACTGTATGTTAATAACCATATGTAATATGATTTTAACACGATGATGATTTGAGTAATACAACAATACTCAAAGAATTAAGAGAATACCCCCTCCCAAGAGCAAAACCTACAAGTTCATCAGGGCTGAGGACGCCGAATTGCACTCTCTTGATGAGGCGCAATGGGCATGCGCTGTCGCTGGAAGGCGGTCCGTGCATCCTGTCTATTCAAAGAGACGCGTCCTCCCCCGGCACGCCGCTTTGTAAGAAGGAACACCTCTGAAACGCCACCAAGACTCTCCTGGCACCCAATGGTGACCGGAACTTGTCCGATGGCGGTTTCCCGGTGACCACCGTGTCTTGCTACTCAATGTGCTTTTTAAATTTGTGTTTATATACTAGCTATTGTAGCTACCAGCAGTCCCCTTCCCTTTCCCCGATCTACACTCCAGTGCGCTCTACGCGCATCTGAGAGAAAACTGCTCTCACACGTCTTTATATAGACTGTATGCTTTGCTACAGGTTTACACAGTCTGCTCGGCAGGGGCTGAACAGTCAGAGGGCGGGTTATGGATCGATATTTCTGTGCGCTTATTGGCCGCGAGACTGCAGCATATGAATAATTCATTCAAATTGACGCAGAACCAATGGAGTTGTGCGCTTTTGATTCCCGCGAATCCTATGTAGGTGGAGGCGGGACAAAACGTATGAAGGGATCCCATAGGACCGTATAAACCAAGGGAGGCTCCGTAGACACTTTAATCATGAATATTAAATAACTTTCGTCTATATGAAACATTATTCGCCAAACATGTTCTTAATATTCATGAGCAGAGAGCATTTGACCAATTGCAACCAACGCTTGACGGCGGTAAAATAACTTTCTTTCTGCCCGCCTTCTTTACGAGCATTGCCGATTTTACCCGACTGATATTTTTTTCACCCTCTGAGCAAAAATAAAAAAAACCTGTGCTGTTCCGTCCGTCTCGCTCTGGATCAGCTAAGAGTGTTGGAAAAGAAGCTCGTGTGAGAGGCCTACAACTACCGTCGAGGATTAACACATTATTTTTGTTTTGAATACGATTTCTATGTAATTCTAATTATTAACTTGCTTTTATTTTGTAAGCTTATTAACGTTCATCGAACTATTTATTATGATTTTCCTTATTTTATTTGTGTTCTACGGGAAAATGCAAGAATCCACGAGGTCGAGTAGAAACAATGGCTGGACGGCACGCGCTTTTTTCGGTATGATCAGCTGGAAACTCCGCTGAAAGCCTGGGGCTGAGGACAGTGCATTTTCAATTAAAAAAACATTCGAGAGACGTTGTTGTTAAACGTTTGATGTTTTTGGAACTATTTTGAGAATTATTACGTTATTTTAACTCTCTGTAAAATACAAAAAAAAAATAGAATTGTACATACAGGCCATTGTGCTCTACAAAAAGGCGCTAGCTTATGTTTTCTTGTTACCGATTTTCTTAAATAATCGCAAATCCATGGTTCGTAAATTATTTCATTTGATTATCTCGTATAGTTTATTGTTCTCGCAAGTGTTGAGTGTAATCAAGAATTTGTAGTAATGTAACCTGACGTTACCTAGCTACTGTTGTGAGCTTTTGCTTGTTTGTTAGCCGCCATTCTTTGTGGAATGGGGACATTAAACAGCACCCGTTTAAAGTTATTTTCTTTCACATGTTCGTTTACATTTTCAAAATGTTAGTGCGTATATTTTTGTTATGGAGTATGTAGATTTATGTCGGTAAATAACCAACATTATTCAGATACATAGTTATGGATTGAGTACATTATAGGTTACAGTGTAAAGAGATGGTTGTAAAAACAAAAAAAAAAAAAATCAAAACCTTTAAGTTGTTTTTATAGGTTCAGTTACATTTTATACTTGATTTGGTCTCTGTTACATATTAATATAGACACCAGGAATGTACCAGACGGTCATTTACATTAACAATCATGACTTTTATCAATTTTGGATAAAAAAAAAAAGAAGCAGCTATTTTCGTTGATCTTGGTCTTGTCTTTGTATGGTTTCAGACGTAGATGTGGCTTTTTAACCGATCATGTTAGTTATATCACGTTCACGTTAGCCTGTTAGCATTGAGCTTGGATGGCTGTGCATCCATTTAACTTGCATGAAAAATACGGAGGTTCTCTAACTTTTAAATCGGTTTCCGAGTATACAATAACACCGATTCCTTAACACAAAAATATTATTTATAACCGAAAAGACTTAGTTCATAACGGGTATGTTTATAAGGCTAATCGGATAATGGAGCAAGAGCTTGGTTGTAGCTCATGGATCAAACCCAAATCAACTTGTTTGAAACCACATGTATCGAGAAAATTGGCTTTACAGTCGTTTGTTGTGGATACATATGAGTTATTGTTTCTGGAACGTGCTTTAACCCGGTTTTAGTCCCAATACGTTTACAGTCAAAACGTCATTCTTGAATGTGAATATATGTTGTGTCAAAGTATATCTCAATCGGTCTCCTCACTTGAACAAGATCCTCGTGTAGAAGTAACACCAAATGGATGTGGATTTTTTTAAGGGATCATGTCGTATATGGCGGGTACAGTGGCGGAGAGATGAACAAACATGGAGTCGGGTGCTTATGTACTTGGGCGGGTTTACAGGGCAGAAGGGAAGCGGAGTTGCGTAACTCCAGCCTGAAGTAAAACTGTTTTCTACACACTGCGTTTCAGTACCAATGTTGAAAAAATGTATTTACATTTGTCTTTAACTAAGTTAAGCTGAAAGACTCCTACAGTCTTAATTGTTGAGGGGATAGTTCAATCAAAAACAAAACTTCTATCATTTGTTGTTTTAAACCTGCATGACTTTCTTCTATGGAGCACAAAAGATGTTATAATGTTAGGGATTGAAATGAATGAAAAGACGGGATAACATTAATTCTGCCTTACGACTCACATAAATCACATATTTGAAATCGCGTGAGAGTGAATAAATGGGTAAGCTGTCACTTTAAAGGGGTCATATGATGCGATTTCAAGTTTTCCTTTCTCTTTGGAGTGTTACAAGCTGTTCGTGAATAGATAAGATCCCTGAAGTTGCAAAGACTAAAGTCTCAAAACCAAAGAGATATTCTTTATCAAAGTTAAGACTCTGCCACGCCCCCCTAAAACGGCTCGTTCTAACACGCCCCCACATATCTAGGTCACTATGTGGGAATATTTGCATAATGCGCCCAAATGTGCACGCAAAGAAAGGCGGCGTGGTTTCAGTACCGCAGTTAGTGTTGAAGCAGCCATGTCAGGGAGACGCTGTGTTTCTAGGCGAGAGCAAAATCTCGTTATTTGGCCTCCCAAAAGTAGATGCATTTAGGAATCTTTAAGATTACTTACAACAGAACAGCAATGCATTTTATGGACGACCGTTTCATGAACCTAGGAGAGGAGGTAATTCTGACTTTGCTTTGACAATCTGGCGCTTCTGAATCAGCTACTGTAAGTATGTTTTGTTACTAGTTTAAGTATTTGCTATTGACTGTTCAAATGCGGAGTTTTGCGCATCGTGTGTGTGCGCGCGCGTGTGTATGTGTGTGAGAGAGAGAGACAGCGTCACATCACCGTAGAGTCAGCTGTCTTAACTGCGGCTTGTGTACTGTCTGCATCATTACTGTCTGTTCCCCTTTCGGGCTTGAACTGATGGTAAAACTAATGACATTATTTACTGTATTTACATTTATTTTGAAAGATGAAGCTCGCGATTATGGTAAGGGGCATTACATTTCTGACAGTGCTTGCGGTGTTCGGCCAATCACAATGCACTGGGTCAGCTGGCCAATCAGAGCAGACTGCGCTTGTCGGAAGGAGGGACTTCGTAGAAAACAAAGCGTTTGAGAGAGGCGGGGCATAGAGGACCTACAATAATGTACAGTATTTGAAAAATGTGTTTTTTGAACATTAAAGCATGTCAACATATTCTGTTACACCAAATACACAAAATAATGATCTTTAAAAAAGCATCATATGACCCCTTTAAATGCGTTGTATTTTACGTTAATATGCGAGATAGGGAAGGTTTCACTTTAAGTGGCCTAATGTGTTTTAATGAAAGAAAGTAGGTTTTCATCAACAGGCAGTCATTTGGACAAATTTGTCACATAGCTTAACTCTGAATGGTTTGAAAAATTCTCGTATGACATTCATGTATAAGTATTATGTGTGTAAATAAAATACATTTGCATTGCATTCAAATTCTTGGTTTCAGTTTTTTAAAGCCTACCTACTTGAAAAATTCTGTCTAAATTAGGTTTATGTGCCTGTATTAAGTGAATCAAACTCTGAAATAACAGGGATGCATTACTTTACCTGTTTCAAGTACAGTCATGGCCAGAAGTTTAGGCAGTGACATAAATTTTGTGTTTTGCAAAGTTTGCTGCTTAAGCTGTTGTGGAATGAGTACTAGTCAGGTAAAATCACTATCATACTAATTAGACCGTAAGAGCAGACTGATTGCTATAAAAGGAGGGAAGAAGCGCTTCCAATCATTGCGTTCTTGTTAGCAATGGATACCTCCAAAGAAACACATGCAGCCATCATCGCTTTGCATTAAAATGGCCGTACATGCAAGGAAATTGCTACAAAGAATATTACACCTAAAAGAACCATTTACCGGATCATCAAGAACTTCAAGGAGAGAGGTTCGGCTGCAGTGAAGAAGTCTTCAGGACGTCCCAGAGTGTCCAGCAAGCACCAGGACCGTTAAAAGTGGTGCAAAGCTATTTTCTCTGATGAAGCTCCCTTCCGACTGTTTGGGACATCTGGAGAATTGATTGTTCAGAGAAGAAAAGGTGAACGCTACCATGAGTCCTGTGACGTGCCAACAGTGAAGCATCCCGAGACCATCCACGTGTGGGGTTGCTTTTCAACCAAGGGAGTGGGCACTCTCATAATTCTGCCCAAAAACACTGCCATGAATAAAGAATGGTATCAAAACCTCCTGCAAGAGCGACTTCTTCCAACAATCCATGAGCAATTTGGTGATGATCCGTGCATTTTCCAGCATGATGGAGCACCATGTCACAAAGCAAGAGTGATAAAGAAGTGGCTCGAAGAGCATTGGAATTTTGGATCCGTGGCCAGGCAACTCCCTGGAGCTCAATCCCATAGAGAACCTGTGGTCAGTCCTCAAAAGACGAGTGGACAAGCAGAAGCCCACAAATTGTGATCAACTCCGAGAACTAATAAGTCTGGAAAATCGATTGTTCGGAGAAGAAAAGGTGAACGCTACCATGAGTCCTGTGTTGTGCCAACAGTGAAACATCCTGAGACCATCCATGTGTGGGGTTCAACCAAGGGAGTGGGCTCTCATAATTCTGCCCAAAAACACTGGCATGAATAAAGAATGGTATCAAAACGTCCTGCAAATGATGGAGCACCATGTCACAAAGCAAGAGTGATAAAGAAGTGGCTCAAAGATCATTACATTGAAATTTTGGATCCGTGGCCAGGCAACGCCCCGGATCTCAATCCCATAGAGAGCCTGTGGTCAGTTTTCAAAAGGCGAGTGGACAAGCAGAAGCCCACAAATTGTGATCAACTCCGAGAACTAATAAGGCAAGAATGGATCGCCATCAGTCAGGATTTGGCCCAGAAGCTAATATCCAGCATGCCAGAGCGAATTGTGGAGGTTATGAAAAACAAGGGTCAACACTGTAAACATTGAGTCATTATATTTTTTTGCCAATAAAAGTCTTTAAAACGTATGATATGCTTATTGTTTTTCAGTATACCATAGAAACATGTGGAAAAATAATCCACAAATACTGAAGCAGCAAACTTTGCAAAACACAAAATTTATGTCACTGCCAAAACTTTTGACCATGACTGTACACATTGCTTAATATTTTGTCTCTTTACGTGAGTAGTGCTGTGCAGGTGGTCTTAAATGTATTTCAAACCGAGCTGCAGCACCACCTTGTGGCAGACACACACGCACACGCACACGCACACGCACACGCACACACAAAAATCAGTTACGTTTACTTCACTTATTTAGACTCCCTCTCTGGAATACTTCAACTACAGCCTGCGTTGAAAAAACGTTGGTCTATGCGTTTTAGCATAAGACATTTTAAAACTTTTATAAAAGTTCTGTGGAATTTAACACGGTAAACCAAAATAAAATCTTTGTCAAGCTGGAACCTAAAAGGCAAGACATTAACAAATAACTGTCTCAAAGGACGGGGTGCCATTTTTACATATTGCAAAGCAATTTAGAAATATGGTTCCTTCAGGAAAACATTCAGACATTTCACAGCACATGATGTTTTTTTTAAATTAATAAACAATTAGCAAGATTGTATTAAACAACAATGGGCCACACATAATAAATACTGCAGTGCTATTCCATAAATTGGAGCCAAAATATAATCTCACTTTGTTACCAAACAAAAAATTAATAACACGGGCTTACCAAATATTACCTAAAATTTCATGACACTTTTAACACATATGGTGTTATTGGATTATCTCCTGAACAGTTTTTCTTGATGTAGCTATTAAAGGTATATGTTCAAATGTTATATTAAGATATTTTTACAGTCAGGTGTAAATGCAAAAAAAGATGCTGAGAAACTCGTCAAGCTACAAATCAGAGGAGAGTCATGACCACTAGATGGAAGCTTTGAGCGCAATACAGACACAGCTGAACGCTCCTGTTACTTCAGTGTCTGGATCTTCCTCTTTCAAGCGGAAGCCACAGTCAAGCAGAAAATGGGCTGTGCTTTGATCAGGAGCTCTCAGGAAAGCCCTGTTGTTCCAGTTTAGTAATCACAAGGCTCCATAAGTAATCTTGTTTGGCGAAAAAAGAAAGAAAGAAAAAGAAAGAAGAAAAAAAGCACATTTACCAAGGGAATCTAATGATACGTTTTTAAGATGGTAATGACTGTGAATGGTAAAGGAAGTTTTACAAAATTAAGCCCACCAAGCAGAAATGTTTCTAAGCCTATATTTTAATAATCAAAATGTTCTATTATATAAGACCAGTGAGAATTAACACAACGTATCATTATGATGACTATGAAAGAGAAAATGCTAAATGTCAAATATTGGGACACAAAAAATGTAAATAAAATGGAGTGCTAAAGTAATTACACTAAATGGCACTTCTCACATAAATTATAGTTGGTCTCTGATTATCCCAAACACTGATCATCCCAAGCTTGGATCGCAGAAATTTAATCTACGTTCATCTACGGGAATGGTTGTAACATGGGGTGAGTTGTAACACTGTGAGTTGCAAGTTCACCACTTAGAAACTGAAATTACTATCATACATGAACACAGTAGAGGATACACTCTTAAAGGTTCCATATGGAAGTTTTCGCAGTGATGCCATAGAAGTACCATTTTTGGTTCCCCAAAGAACCAAAAAATGCTTAACATTTTCAGTTTCCACAAAAATATTAATAACCAAGTCAGCATATAAAAACTGGAGTAATGGCTACTGAAAATTAAACTTTGCCATCACAAAAATAAATTACATTTTAAAGTATGTTAAAATAGAAAACAGTTATTTGAAATTGTAATAATTACACAATATTTTTTTTATTAAATAAATGCAAAAAATCAGCCTGCACGCATACACACAATGCATCATCAACACCCTTTCTCTAATTTAACCTTCTTAAAGGGACAATTCATCAAAAAGGAAAATTTTGTCATGTTGTTCCAAATCTGTATGACTTGGTGGAACACAAAAATAGATATTTTAAAAATATCTCAGTGGTTTTCTTGTCCATTTGATAAAAGGCAATGTTATTTTGGACCCCTTTTAACTTTCACTGTACAGACAATAAATAACCAGATGAAACATTTCTCAAAATATTTTATTTTAAGTTCTACAGAATGTAGGCTATGCATTGTATGAATTTCTTTCTTCTGCTGAACACAAAATAATTTTATATATGTTGAATAATGTGGGTATCCAGTTTCTGGTACCCACTGATTCCATAGTATTTTTTTTTCCATACTATGGAAGTCAATGGGGACCAACAACTCTTTGATTAGCCTACTCAAGTTATTCCAAAACGTTTTTAGGGGTTCAAGCACATAGTGCTGAATCCCTATTGTTTTTGTAGGGATTTGTATTATAATTATAATTATTATTATTCCGTTCTAAAACTGATCGGGCAGACCAAACCGTAAGGCCTAGAGACCTGAAACTTGGTCAGATGGACGCTTGCTACTCAGACACATTGTCTTGAACTAGAGTACCCAAAAGCCTATAAATCCTAACAGAAAACTCTATACTTCTCAAAACTGTGTAAACTCACGCACAGTATGATTCTAAACAAGCATGCACAATTTTATGGAGATCAAGCAAAAAATGGCACTAAAATAGTTATAAAAGTTAAAAACACTATATGTCTATCATAAAGTCCCTGAAATTGCCATTTTAACCACTAGATGGCATCATTCAACTCCCTAATATAGTACTTTTCACAGGTTTTGTTTTGGATTCATATTTAGACATTATAAAATCACTATTATAACATTACACATCACATTTCATCAAAGTTTACCACTTAATTTCTACTGAGGAATTAATTTTTGCAATTATGCCACATTATGATTACAGTGAATTCTCCAGTGTTATAAAGAGGAGACATTAGGTAAGCATTTTGTTACCTCATTTATTTCAAATCTCTGTATCTACAACAAAATGTGTTTGCATGTGTGTGTGTGTGTGTGTGTGTGTGTGTGTGTAAGTATGCTTAGTGTGTATTAAGTATTATACTTTAACCCTTTCATTTCTGTGTGTGTATGTGTGTATTAAAATATTCTTCATCATGGATGTGTTGTGATGTCAGCCCAAAATTTCAGGTTGGCCTAAACCCTAACAGCATAGATGCGATAAAGGCCTTAAAGCGCTTGAACCCCAGTAATCGCTGCTTGCAGCTTTATTTAAGGCTTATATTTCTGCCGTAAAACTGATCGTGCAGACCAAACTGTAAGTCCTAGAGACTTGAAACTTGGCCAGATGGTAGAGTTCAATTTGGGCAGAGACTGGCAAAGACTCACCCCAATCAGCCAATGGGGGTGCTACAACGATCAAAACCACGAAATTGCTCATAAATCCTAGACCGTTTGTGTCTTATATCAGTGTAATCTTTAGCTCAAGCCAAACAAAATGTCTATCTCCGATTTCATTTCCGGTAGGAACGTTTTTCTGCTATTTTGAATTTTGTTCAAAACCTACTTTTGTGAACTAGTCCTAGGTTTTTCACCCGATCGGAACCAAACCAGTGCAGAAAGATTCTCTGAAGAGTGAATATCGATAATTATCAACAAAAAAAAAAGGTTGAAATTTCGACTCACTGTTGCAAAGGGACACCAAAACATTTGAGGTGGGCGGAGCCACTTTTACTAAAATGCCTATAACTCTTGAACGGAATGAGATATCTTCACCAAAATCAGAACACTTATGTAAGATCTCAATCTGAGGTCATAGTAAAAAAAATCGTGGAGTTTGGCCACTTGGTGGCGCTATAACTTGGAAAAAGTATAAAATGGCTATAACTGTTGCAACCGTTAGTCCGATTGACTTGAAAATTGGTATACAGTGTTTTTGTCCAAAGTGCCATGACTGTATATGAGGACATTCGCATATCTCAAAAATCATGGCTGCCATCAGCCATTGAAGTTTGAGCACCTATTAGACAAGGTTAACGGAGGCTGATCGGAACGAAATTCGGTGGGCACACATGCACACTGGCATATTGCATTTTTCAAGTGTGTAAACGATTGTATATTTCACAAATTTTCACACATACACACAATATTCATATCATATGATGGATACAACTTTGCCTCAAGAACCACTGTTGTCAATCACTTCATACTTTAAATATTTGAGATTATGTGAAAAAAACTACTTTTGTGAACTAGTCCTAGGTTTTTCGCTCAACCTCGAAAAAACCACTGCAATACAACTCTCTGGAGTCTCTAGGTCAATAATTATATATATAAAAAAAGTAGAACTTTCCCCTTTGGGTAGCTATAACAGGGTCATTTAGAAAATGGCCATGTCCAAATATGCCCAAATGCCTATAAATCCTAAACGAAAACTCAAAACTTTATGAAACTAGGCGAACACATACAACAGTTGATTCTCAATAAGCATGCAATGCTTCATGGAGATCGGACCATAGGTGGCGCGATAACAGTTAAAAAGGCTTCAAAAACACAATATTTCTATGGTAAATGAACTCAACTTGCTAAAAAATATTCATATATTCACACATACACTAGATTTTCATATCATACGATAGATCTTCTCATTCTGAACAACTTTGCCATCAATCTGCTGTCAATCAAATTGTTCTTTAAATAATTTAGATTATTTAAAAAACCTACATTTGTGAACTAGTCATAGGTTTTTCACTCAACCTCAATAAATAAATGTGTGAGTTCTTTGGCTTTCAACATGATGATTTTCAATGATTAAAGGGTAAACAAGCTAAAGTAAGAGTGATAGCTAATGGAAATATTTTGGAAGCATAAATATTGAGAGAAACAAGACAAGGGGATCCATTATCACTATAAGTATCTGCTTTATCTATAGAACTTTAATACAAATAAAATGTCTTAAAGTCGAGGGAGACATACATAAAATTAAAACCGTGACTGAGATATTATTAAGTTTAAGCTCATAGCATAGAAGCTTATCCCTATATAAATACATTTAAATAAGACAGGAGTAATGCAAATTGGGGTCTATTTAGAAAAAGAATGAATTCAAGAGGGTGTCACTGTCACACCAGGCTCTCGCTCCTCACTGACTCAGCCCTCATGTTCTCCAGAGTTCTAGTCGCACACATGCCCCTTGTCAGCACTCATCAATACCACTACAAAGCACACATGCACACTGGCATTTACTGTTTGGCCTTGTCAAGAGAACACAGACACTCTTACCTGGAAACTTACCTTGGGAAACCGACCATAAGCTCCTTGGATTATCTCTGATGCTGTCTCCTTTTTCCAAGTCGAATCTAAGTCATCTCCTGGTCCCCTCATTTCGACTGCTCCTTTGTGTGTGTGTTCCCAGATCATACTGTAAGACACATTCAACAGTTACATTCAAGTCAATATCCAGCCTACCATACTACCAGTCATTACTCACCTGCACTGTTGATTCCTTCTGCCTTTGATGAACTTACCATTGGTTGTTCCTAATCCTGTGTATCGTGACAGAGGTTATTATTTTATCGTGTAAAATAATACAGCAATGGATCGTTGAGCAATTCCCAATAATTAAGAGACAAGGAATGGAAACAGGGTGTTAAAGAAGCATTCAGCGATTCACAATCTCTGGAATTAAATGTGCTTGGAAGATGAATATGAGAATATGACACCGGAAATCATCCAAGTATACAAAGTAACTCCATGGTGCTCAGAGAGAGTGTGGTGAGACTAAGGGCTTCCAATCATATATAGCCTACATATATATATATATATATATATATATATATATATATATAGGGTACGGAAAGTATTCAGACCCCCTTAAATTTTTCACTCTTTGTTATATTGCAGCCATTTGCTAAAATCAATATATATATATATATATTCATGTAAGCAGTTATATATATTTTGTCTACACAAATAGAGCAGATCTTTTATGAAAAGATAGGAACAACAGAAAATGCAGTTTTCAGTATATGTCTTGTAAATTTCAAACAGGGATGAACTGAGAATCACAGCATTTTCAGTAGCATCAATAAATTGCAGGAAACAGGAACTATACAGTATAATTAAAATCATATAATGTGGAAAAACGATCTAAATAAAAACTAAATATTTAATAATTAAATTTTAAATTAAAGGAAAATTACAACAAAAAATGGATAATAAAAGAAAAATGTTAAAATAAAATTTTAAATTAGAACAATTACAGTGCAATAGTCATAACAGCAGGAAGTATTTAAGTAAATGTAATCTGTACAATGTTTGATAAATATGAATAAAAGAAAAGATTCTTTGTGCTCTGGGTAGTCATGCTATTCTTGATGATTGAATCATTAAACATTGATTATTTGTACTCTGATAACAAAACTATCAAACGTCAGAGGGTTAACTTGACATTTCATTCATCTGCCCACTGCCATATTTGTTATCCAGTCCTCCCATTGCAGGCGGACATTTGACAGCCCCCTCTTCCCCAAAACGCACCAGGAGTCTGTGTGTGGCTGACTCCAGATGTCCCAGCCTCTTTTGTTACCGTGGAGATTCAGCTGGCCACTGCCTTCTCATTAGTGTCTGCTGAACCATATGTCATGTTAAAGACGGCCTTTGATCAGCAGTGAGCAGGGGAACATTTGAGCCACCTATTTTCACAGCAGACAAAGATTAGAGGCAATCAAATGACAAATACAATAATTTGGAATATGACAAAGCTTGTTTACGAAGTTGAATGGCTTATTCAAGAGGACCACCTCTGTCTGGCATACTTCTGATTTTTTTTAAACAAGAAATGAAAAGTTACAATACAATTTAAATAATATAATATAAATTATCTAAATATATTATTACTGAATGCATAATCCTTGAACATTTGCTATCACACTGACTTTGATTTTAACTGAGATCTTATCCCAAAGGTATACCTTAAATCAGCTAGACATACTTCCATAGAACTTCCTTATCAACAACTCAATTTCCTTATTCATACTTAGTGATAAAACATCCATTGTCTACATATCTTGACATGTTTTCTGGGCACCATGCTCTTAATATTGACTGTGGTGAAATATCTTGCATTTTGAACTCTACTTTTGAGTTTCTTATATCCATGTTCCAATTCCCAAACAGCTCATAGTGTAAAAATACAAACACTTTGGGGTAATCCTTACTGAAGACGTTACCCAAACTATTATAAATTCCAAAAATAAACATAGCAAGAAACAAATAGTTTAAAACGACAAAATACAAGCATGTGTACTGAAAGTTCTATAATCAAGCTCACAGTAAGAACCACGTAGAAGTGTGAGAAAAGTGACAAAGTTCCAACAAGTCGGAGAGATCATAAGAACAACACCCCTTCCAAACCAAGTTCCCATGGAGACAAGTTGGCTGGCATACAATAGAAAAGAAAAAGAAGGAGTGCGTAAGAGAAAGGAAAAATAGAGAGAAGGACCGAGAGGCACAAGGGAAAGGAACATAGGATGGGGGTATAATGAGCTGTTCAGCAGAAATTTGGGCATGAAAAAAGTGGACAGAAGAGGAAGAGTGAAGCGAGAGAAAAAAATTCAGTATGAACCCTCATTTTCCTTATCCTGTTGCCCTGCTCTCTCCGCAGGTCCGTTTGGGCTGGAAAATTATTTCGGAATGTCAAGACAGACCGTTTTAAATAGTTTTCCACACACAATGCTGTTTTAAAACAGGTGGTTCCTGAACTTTTCAGTAGCTATAGATAGATTAGGGATTGAGAGTAAGTTGGATCGATCGATCCAGCAAATGCCAGACAGATTAATTCAGCAAACGAAGGCAGGACAAAAAGTATGCAGAGGTGTTATTTCTTTGCTCCACGTAATGGCGAGAAGGCCAAATCTGTCATAGAAGGCCGTCTCGGCCAAAAACTTCAATGTTTACTCCTCTGTTTCATCGCTTCTGGCCATAAACGTCATCCTCTTTAGTCAGGGAAGTAGAGAGAGGATAAAATGGAAACCAAAGTGCATGTCCATGCCCTTCTCTTTGATCTCTCTTTTGGCTACCTCACTTCTTTAAAGAGTTTTACCCAAGTATTGTCTGGCGTCTCTCTCTTTCTCCCCGCTCCTACTCTTTATCTCTTTCCCTTCATGTCTCTATGGCCAAGCTTTTTTTCTGTTGGCATGGCTCCTGTTTGTTTTCAGCCATTTTGGGGACTGGCAGTGCTCGTAACAAACTGCTTAAATGGCGTCCTCTCACTCGCTCATTCTCTCCCTCGCTCCCGCTCTCCCTCCCTTCCTTGCTATCATCAGGCTTGGTGTATGTAGAGCAGAGAGTGTGCATGGTGAAAGTGTGTGTCTAATGAACAAAAAAATTTAGAATAAAAAGAGAATTGGAATTAAAATGAGGCTGGGGGGTGGGTGTGAGTGAGTAAGGGGTACGAGGCTGGGGGAGAAAAAAAAGCAAAAACAGCCCAGAATCATGTGTCAGTGGCAAACTGAAGTGTGAGAGAGCGAGTGAGCGGGTGAGGGAAGGAGAGATAGAGCGGCAGAAGGAGGGGGAGAGTCAGAGTGCGAGAGAGTGGTTTCTGCCCTCTACATAGCGCTGCCTGTGTGCACTCGCTCGTCTTTCCCTGTGTTCTCTCTCTCTCTCTCTCTCACTCATACACGCACACGGGAACACGCAGACCACGACACACAGACCAAGGGAGGGAGAGTGAGAGAGTGAGAGAGAGAACACATCGCAGCCGAGATGCAGCAGAAGGTTTTTCGAGGTACGTTGTCTTGTTGTGTGCTTGCCTAGCGGAGAATGGGAGTGAGAAGGAGAGACTTTTTCCTCTGATCTATCTCTCTGTCTTCACCTCTTCCTGCTTCTTGCATTTCTATGCCACTCTCATATCATATCGATGTTGTTTTGGTTCTGTGTAGACACCAGAAATGAGTGTGCGTGTGGGTTTGTGTGCGCGCTAATCAAGGCCTGTCTCCCTTATCCTCGGCTGTTGTGGCCGAACCACGCAGTTCTTTTTCAGGGCTGGTGAGTCGCTCAATTATTAAAGTAAAATCAGAATAACGCTTCATACTTTTTTGCGTTCTCTTATCATAATTTCTGTTCTGCTGGATTTGGATACTTTATCTTGTGGCAAGTTCATATCTGATGAAATTATCTCAGTAGCGAAGGACACGTTTTTAGAATTAACGATCAAGCGGCATCTTGGAATATGGAGCCAGTCATTTTCCTAAAAACAGCATCTACCCGTGTTTACGTAAGGTGGATGTTATTAGATTTTATTACATGCACATGCACATGCAGAGTTTAGATTTGCACTCTTTTCCTGTACTGCATAGTTGGAAGTACACTATTAACATCCCCTGCAAGGCCATAGGGTCAGAGGTCATTAGAAGCCAATCAGCCAAGTTGTATGGTCTTGTTGAAGTGAGTTGCATATACGCCAGCATCAAATTGAATTTCCTGTCGCTGCTTAAGGGTTCATATCAGCTAGCATGGGATATTTGCTATTCAAACTCTGGCACATGTTAGCATAAAGTTTCTGGCATATTGTAGCGACAGAGGCATCAAGTTAGAATGGAAACATGGCACTGCTGCTCGCCTTCCTATCCAAACTGAAGCATTATAGAAGCAGGTTCAGGCATGATCTAAAGGAAGTAGCTTCAGCCAGGTCACTAGCGGGGTTTTTCACTGTCTGTGAAGGCAATTTTCTTCCAGTTTTGCTCTACTTAGAATATTGTCCTTGATCATATTACAACAACAGATTTATGGGAATCACTTGATGAGTTTAAAATCAGTGGACCATGTCAAACACAGCATGTAACACGGGCAGACTCGCTAGAGCATGGCCCGTCATGCCAAATCACCAAGATACCATAAATTGCTCAGAGGGGAAAGCAAGGAGCGAGGAAATCTTACCGTGGACACAACCTCGGACCATCCGTATCCATCTCCCAACTGCTTCCCTCTTGTTTCTCCAAAACAGCCCACTCCTCCTTTTTGCTCTTTTCCCTACCCCTCATCTCTCCTCTGGCTGGCTCCACCATGTTTTTGGCAGGGGGTTGTGCAGAGTTCAGTATCTTGCGACAGTCCCCTTTTCACAGTCCGCCTCACCCTGGTGGGCCCTGTCACGGCCACACGGAAACAGGCGGCCTTCACTCATTACCCTTTTCCACTGCCATTCAGTCCATGGTCTCTTTCAGTGGCACAGCTAAATGCGAGACCTTTAGCCCATTACCCATCTTCTTCCGAGACTCTTCTCAGTTTCTAACCCTCCGGTGACCGCATTATAAAACAAGTCATCTCATGTGCTTAAATTAAAAATCTTTACCTGCATGACAAGCATGCACTTCATGTTCCAGCTGATGACATGGTTCTGACACTCGTTTTCAATTACCTACATTTGGGAGAAAGTCAACTTGTTAACCTTTATTTAAATAGACTCGACATAATATTTTATTGTGCAAGATGCAACACCTTAATACTTCAGCTCTAACTCTTTCAGTCGATCGTGCTTCGGTTCAAAAGGCCATCTATATTTTGGTACATTTTCAGTCTAGGCATATTTGGAGCACTTTGACTATAAATAACACTCTGTTGGGGAAATCTTAATTAAATTTTAGCAGTGTTCAATTAG